TCTTTCAGTTGTTTATTCGTTTGAGTAAGTAGTGGTAGAAAATTTGTTTCAACTATCTTCTTAGGGTCTGTTCTGATCTTAATACCCAGGTAATTAATATATTGATCTGCCCATATAAATTCATATTTATTTCTCAATGTCCTGGGATATATTACTTGAAAGGGCCAATGATTTATCCTAATTAAGCTTATAACCAGAGCAAAGAGAGAACTTTCTTATCTCCTTCATCAGTTCTTCCATAGATTTACAAGGGTCTTGCAGCGTAAGAATAGTATTGTCTGCATATAAATTGATCTTAATATTTTCATCTCTGTTCTCAAAATCTTTTATATTCTGGTTATGACGAATTGAAGAATCGAAGAATGCATATACTATCTACGTAGAATCGAGGCCTAGTAGTACAAACATCAAAACAATTGTAGCCAGTAGTATGGAAGATCTCTTCAAACATGCAGGGCAACAGATTCCAATAATTCCTCTCCTATTCCTCTCTCCTTTGATATTTGAGTGCTTGTAGAGTGTCACAGGTAATCTTGGTAGTAGCAAGTTTTTCTGAGCCTGAATGTAGCAGGCCTCCCAACCATCCCAATTTTGGTGGGACAATCCCAATTTTTGGGCCGTGTCCCAATTTTATTTTCTTGTGTCCCACTTTTTAAAACACCAGGGATCAGTCCCCAATAAACAAAGTGCAAGCACATCATCAGTTGCACTTGCGCTATGCTCAGGGCATTTACTAAAACGGTGCTCCCTGCATAATCTACCCTTGTTGGGTTGGCCTACTTGGTTGGCAGGCAGCATGGACCTGCCCTCTCTCCAGTTAGACCCAACACCTTTACTGAACTACCCCCTTTTACACCTCTCACTGGCATCTCGCTTCACAGGAATGATGATACAGTAAGACTATGGGTTGTCTTTCATCTGCCCAACTTTTTATCTCCATGTGGTTTTGCATCATTAGATTACCAGCCTTTCCTGAATTCAAAGTTTTCCACCTTCTTGAAATGTATTAGCCATTACTTATATTTTAAAAAATTAATATACCTCCTTTATTTTTTGTGCAGCACCAACACATACATATAGATGCTCTCTCAATTTAAATAAGAACACCATACCAACAGTTCAAGATGATTACTTTCTAATCAGATAAGAAGATATCATCCCGCTATCTCCAAATCAAAACAACTAATTTCCCAAATGTAAAAAGTTAACATGAGACATATATATCAATGTTATATTCATTTATTAAATATATTTCACAGAATTGATTTTATTTTGCAGTCTTGGATTGGATATACGAAGGAATATATATATATAAATCTTGGATAATATTAGATATCCAGAAAAAGATTTTTAGGACCTCTGGACTCACGGAGAGTCATCCTTCTGCACTCAGGAAAGGAAAAACCTCCTGTGGAGGAAACCTCTGGGGAACCATGGCTTGAAGGATTGCCTTTCCCTCTGGGCATTAAGAGGTAAATAGAGAATTTCTTAGAATCTGGGCTTGTTCTTTGTATGAGCTGTTTCAAAATATTAATTGAGAGAGTGACCGAGAAAGGAGTGGTTTCCCCTAACATTTAAATAGGCAGACAGACAGGTACATAGATTTCCATTGACAAACAGACATTTAGATTTCCCCAAACATTAAATTGGCAGACATATAAAGAGTTCTCCAAACATTCAAACTGACAAACAAAATTCACAAAACATTTAAATTGACAGACAGAAACAGAGATTTCACCAAACATTTAAATTGAGAGACAGACATATACATTTCCAAAACATTTACATTGACAGAGACAGACAACATTCATATAACATTCAAATTGACAGAAATATATCCCCAAACATTTAAAATGACAGTCAGATACCTATATTTCCTCAAACATTTACGTTAACAGACAGACAGAAAAACAGATAAAGTTTCCCAAAGAGGTAAACTGACAGACAAACCAAATTCATAAAACATGTAAGTTAGTACACAGACATATATCCCCAATAGTGATGTCCCGAACGGTTAGCCGTGAACGGTTCGCCGCAGACTCATCATTGAGTAAACTTTGACCCTGTACCTCACAGTCAGCAGACACATTAAAGCCAATCAGCAGCAGACCCTCCATCCCAGACCCTTCCACCTCCTGGACAGCATCCATTTTACATCCATTTTGAAGCTGCATTCTTAGTGAGCTGTCCAGGAGGTGGGAGGATCTGGGAGGGAGGGTCTGCTGCTGATTGGCTGGAATGTATCTGCTGACTGTGAGGTACAGGGTCAAAGTTTACTCAATGATGAGTCCGTGGCGAACCGTTCGTGGCGAACCGTTCGGGACATCACTAATCCCCAAACATTTCAATTAAAAGACAGATTGGGAAATATTTTTCTCGGTCTGTCTGCCACAATTTAATGTTTAGGGAAATCAAATCATTTAAATAGACAGACAGGTAGCTAGATTTCCCTACACATTTAAATTGGAAAACAGAAAAAAATTCACAAAACATTTAAATTCACAGACAGACATATAGCCCCAAACATTTCAATTAACAGACAGATAGGTACATATATTTCCCCAAACATTTAAACTGACACAGAAAATTCACAAAACATTTAAACTGATAGGCAGATAAATATCGAAACATTTAAATTGACAGACATATAGATACATAGATTTCCCCAAACATTTAAATTGACAGACAGACAAAACAATTCCCCAAACATTTAAATGGATAGATATATAGATTTCTGAAAACATTTAAATTGACAGGCAGATAGACAAATAGAGTTCTCCAAACATGTAAAATGATAGACAAACAAAATTCACAAAACATTTAAATAACAGACAGACTTATATCCTGAAACATTTATATTGACAGATAGAAAGTGTTCCCCAAATATTTAAACTGGCAGACAGACATTATTCAGAAAACATTTCAATTGACATACAGATAGATACACAGATTTCCCAAAATATTTACATTGACAGACATATAGATTTTCCAAAACGTTTGCATTGACAAACAACATTCACAAAACATTCCAATTAACAGACAGATACACAAATTTCCCCAAAAATTTACATTAACATACAGACAGACATTTAGCTTTTCCCAAACATTTTCATTGACAGACAGACATATACATCTCCCAAACATTTACATTGACAGATAGACATACATTTACATTCACAAACAGAATTCACAAAACATTTACATTGACAGACAGATACATAGACTTCCCCAAACATGTACATTGATAGACAGACATAAAGATTTTCCTGAACATTTAAAATGACAGAAACTCAGACAAAGATTTAAAATGGCAAAAAAACTAAACATATAAATTGGCAGACAGATATATATCCTGAAACATTTAAATTGACAGACTGATAGATAAATATATTTCAGCAAACATGTACTTTGACTGAGAGACAGACTCATGCCTGTCTCTTAGTCAATGTACAGGTTTGCAGAAATCTACCCCAAACATTTAAATTGACAGGCAGATAGACAGACAATATTTTACGAAACATGTTCATTGAGAGACAAACAAAATTCACAAAACATTTAAATTAGCAAACAGACTTATATCCCAAAACATTTATATTGACAGATAGAAAGCGTTCCGTAAACATTTAAACTGGCAGACAGACAAAATTCCCAAAAATTTAAACTAACAGCCAGATCGATACACAGATTTCCCCAGACATTTACATTGATTGACAGACAGATTTCCCAAATCATTTGCATTGACAAATAAAATTTACAAAATATTTAAATTGACAGATACATAGATTTCACTAAACATTTACATTGATAGACAGGCTTAACACTTTCCCTAAACATTTTAAATGACAGATAGATAGTCGGATAAACAGATAGTTTCCAAAACATTAAAATGGCAAAATAAATCACAAACATTTACATTGGCAGACAAATATATATATTTATATATATCCTGAAACAGTTACATTGACAGACCGACAGATAAATATTTTTTCCCAAATATGTACATTGGCTGACAGACAGACATAAAGCTTTCCCCAAACATTTAAACCGAAAGACGAATAGATTTCAACAAACATTCAAACTGACAGGCAGATACACCATCAGAGTTCTCCAAACATATACAGTGAGAGACAAACAAAATTCACAAAAACATTTAAAGTAACAGACAGACTTATATCCCAAAACAATTATATTGACACAAAGCGTTTCCCAAACATTTAAACTGGCAGACAGATAATATTCACAAAACAATTCAATTGACAGACAGATACACAAATTTCCCCAAACATTTACATTGACAGACAGATATATAGATTTCCCAAAACTTTAACATTGATAAACAAAATTCACAAAAAAGTTAAATTGACAGACAGATTTATAGTTTTTCCGAAACATTTACATTGATAGGCGGACATAAAGATTTCCCTAAAGATTTAAATCAGACAAACAGAGTTTCTCAAACATTAAAATGGCAAAAAAGGGGGGGGGGGGCGGAGTCTGGCTACTGAGCATCCAGACGTGTGTTGGCTGAGCTCCCACGTAAGGCACCCTACGTCTAACATTATTTTCGAGCAAACAACTTACCTGGGCGCAAAGCATGACTACGCTTGTGACTGTAACGCCGGTGGTGCTGGGGATCCCTTTGGTGGATTTCTCTGCCACTAGAAACCCTGACTTGAGGCTTTGCGGCCTACCAGCGATCGTGTGGAGGAGAGGCCGCTGCTCTCCTATTGCTTCGACTGGCGGTGAGATACTCGATTAGTGCTATCCCCCTCCTGGACCAGTGGGGGTTATCCCGGTCCCCCCTGGCTAGCTCAGTATCCACACTCTGTACCCAATTTCCAGACACCGACCACGTGGCGAACCCGGCGAACTCACTTAAGATGGCGGACAAGCTCCCTGAACAGGGGCGCAAACTGCACAGACCGGTGACGAACGTATCGGGCTTGATAGAAGGCATGCTATAACGCCTTGACAAGGTGTTTGAGTGATTCTGGCACAAAATGGAAGCTCGAAAGCCGACATCACAGCCTCAAAAACAGAGGAGAAGGCGAAGAGGAGAGCCTGCGTCTCCCGTGGGCAAAGTACCCCACAAAGCATCAGTGCACCCTCATTCTAACCCACCAAGAGGAAAGGCAGCGAAGCACGTTCCACGACGGCAGAGCCATGGCACCCGCACACAGAGGCGGACCACCCGAGGCCACTACAGTCTCCCGGCGAGGAGGGACTTGATATATCACATAGCCCGGTTCCATGGATCCCAGCCACAGGCCCCCTCTAAGGCCTGGAGTGAGAGATGATACCCTGGCACACCTATCTTATACAGCAACACCCAGAGACTCTCCCAAAGTGCCGAGCCGAGGCATTGGCTGGTATCACCATATTACCCTGTGCACATCACCCGCATTCTCAAGGATACGTTTCCTTATGCTGTCCCTCTATACCTGTGCTGATGATGCCATTAATTTTATGTTATGTTATAGTTGATTTTCTGTTTGCATGCCTCTATCTACATACACTCCTCACTCCACACATTCAGGGGTTTGCCTAAATAGTAACATTGCGAAGGTTGACCTCAAAAGCTTTATCATAACACATACTCTATATATATACATCATGCTAAAACTCCAACAAACATTATACTAACTGTGTTGTATTCTTGCCTAACCTAAAGGGCTGCTAAGCAAGTTACTATCTAATATCTTGTACCTAGCCTGTTTAACATATGCTACTCTCTTGTAACACACTCTTGCTTCATACCCATACTAAATTACACAGCAGATTCGCATCAGATACATTAAGCTTGTTTATAAATGAAAAATGTGCAATTACTCATGCCACAGTCTATCCTGTCTACATCTATGTACGCTGTTGTGGCGTTTGACGTTGATATGTACCTACCTGCACAATAAAAAGAAAAAATGTATAAAATGGCAAAAAAACTCACAAAACATTTACATTGGCAGACAAATAAATTTATCCCGAAACAGTTACATTGACAAACTGATAGAGTTCCCCAAACACTTAAAATGGCAAAAAAATTATCACAAAACATAGACATTGGCAGACAGGCAATATTCACAAAACATTTCAATTGACAGACATACACAGATTTTCCAAAACATTTACATTGACAAACAAAATTCACAAAACATTTAAATTTACAGATTGATACATAGATTCCCCCAAACATTTATATTGATAGAGAGACCTAAAGATTTCTTTAAACATTTGAAATGACAGACAGAACATCAGGCAAACAGGTAGAGTTTACATTTAAAATGGCAAATAAAAACAACAAAATAATCACAAAACGTAGACATTGGCAGACAGATAATATATCCTGAAACATTGAAATTGACAGACTGATAGATAAAGAGATTTCCGCAAACATGTACATGAACCGAGAGACAGATATTATGCTTTCCCCAAACATTTAAAATGACAAGCAGATAGACAGACAATATGGACAAAACATTTCCATTGACAGAAAAACAAAATTCACAAAACATTTGACTTATATCCCAAAACAGTTATATTGACAAATGAACAGATAGAAAGTGTTACCTAAATATTTAAACTAGCAGACAGACAATATTCCCAAAACATTTCAATTCACAGACATAGACAATATGTTACAAAACATTTCCATTGACAGACAAAGAAAATTCACAAAACATTTAAATTAGCAAACAGACTTTTATCTCAAAACATTTATATTGACTGATTGACATATAGAAAGCATTCCCTAAACATTTAAACTGGCAGACCGATAATATTCACTAAACATTTTAATTAATAGATAGATAGGTACACAGATTTCCCCAAACATGTACATTGACAGACAGGCAGACATAAAGCTTTCCCAAAACATTTGCATTGACAGACATATAGATTTCCCGAAAATGTGCATTGGACAAACAATATTCACAAACATTTCAATTAATAGACAGATAGGTACATGGATTTCCCCAAACATTTACACTGACAGACAGACAGATTTCACCAAACATTTACATTGACAACCTGACAGACATATAGATTTCCCAAAACATTTGCATTGACAGACATATAGATTTCCCAAAAATGTGCATTGGACAAACAAAATTCACAAAACATTTCAATTAACAAACAGATAGATACACAGATTTCCCCAAACATTAACATAGACAGAGATATAGAGTTCACCAAACAATTACATTGACTGACAGACATATAGCTTTCCCAAAACATTTGCACCGACAGACATTTACATTGACAAACAAGATTCACAAAACATTTAAATTAACAGACAGATACATAGTTTTCCCCAAACATGTACGTTGATAGACATACATAAAGATTTCCCTAAACATTTAAAATGACAGAAAGTCATACAAACATTTAAAATGGCAAAACAATCAAAAAACATATACGCTGGCAGACAGATATATATCCTGAATCATTTACATTGACAAACTTATAGATAAATATATTTCCGCAAACATGTACATTGACTGAGAGACAGACTCATATCCCCTCTCTCTTCACAATGTACATGTTTGTGGAAATCTACCCCAAACATTCCAATTGACAGGCAGATAGACAAACAATATTCACAAAACATTTAAATTAACAAACAGACTTATATCCTGAAACATTTATATTGACAGATTGACAGAAAAAAAGCATTACCTAAACATTAAACCGGCAGACAGACAATATTCACAAAACATTTCAATTAATAGACAAATAGGTACATGGATTTCCCCAAACATTTACATTGACAGACAGACAGATTTCCCAAAACATTTGCATTGACAAACAAAATGAACAAAACTTTTCAATTGACAGATACATAGATTTCCCCAAACATTTACATTGATAGACAGACATAAAGCGTTCCCCAAACATTTAAAATGACAGATAGATAGTCAGACAAACAGATAGAGTTCCCTAAACATTAAAATGGCAAACAAATTCACAAAACATTTAAATTGGCAGGCAGATATACACATTTTTTTGTCTTTTGCACTCCTACCTCCAGTCAATGGTACCGGATGCCCAGCCACACTGCAATATAAAAAATAAACGATTGCCGGCACTCCTGGATTTCAAACCTCAATCTGGTTTTATTGTCTTAGGTCAACGTTTCAGTCCCTAATTTGGGACTTTCATCAGGACACACATGTCGCCCTAAGACAATAAAACCAGATTGATATTGGAAATATATATCTCAAGACCGTTCAATTGATAGATAAATAGATTTCCCCTAAATATGTACAGTACAGTGACTGACAGACAGAAACAAAGCTTTCCCCAAACATTTAAATTGACAGACAATAGCAAACAGAGTTCTCTAAACATGTAAACTGACAGACAAACAAAATTCACAAAATATTTAAATTAACAGACAGACTGATATCTTAAAACATTTATATTGACAGATGTATGCCCCCAAAACATTTAAAATGACAGATAGCCAGACAAACATATAGAGTCCCCCAAACATTAAAATGGCAAAAAATAAAATAAAAAATCACAAAACATTTACATTGGCAGACATATAATAGATAGATAGTCTGCCAATGTAAATGTTTTGTGATTTATTTTTTTGTTGTTGCCATTTTAATGTTTGGGTAACTCTAAAGAAATCACAAACCATTTACATTGGCAGATATATATATATATATATATATATATATCTGCCAATGTATTATTTCTTATATATATATATATCTGCCAATGTAAATGTTTTGTGATTATTATTTTTTTGCCATTTTAATGATACAGTTAAATTGATAGATAAATAGACTTCCCCAAACATGTTCATTGACTAACAGACAGACATAAAGCTTTCCCCAAATGTTTAAATTGACAGACATATAGATTTTGGCAAACATGTAAATTGACTGGCTGATAGACAGTTCTCCAAACATGTAAATTAACATACAAACAAAATTCAAAAAATATTTAAAATAACAGACAGACTTATATCCCGAAACATTTATATTGACAAACAGACAGATAGAAAGCATTCCCCAAAGATTTAAAGTTGCAGACAGACAATATTCACAACACATTTCAATTGACAGATAAACAATATTCACAAAACATTTAAATTAACAAACATATTTATATCCAGAAACATTTCAACTGACAGATAGTAAGTGTTCCCTAAACATTTAAACTGGCAGACAGACAGACAATATTCACAAAACATTTTGATTAACAGAAAGATACACAGATTTCCCAGAACATTTACATTGACCAATAAAATTTGCAAAACATTTCAGTTGACTGACAGATACATAGCTTCCCCCAAACATTTACACTGATAGACAGACATAAATATTTCCCTAAACATTTAAAATGACAGAAAGTCATACAAACAGCTAGAGTTGCCAAAACATTTAAAATGGCAAAACAATAACAAAACATATACATTGTCAGACATATATATATATCCTGAAACATTTAAATTGACAGACTGATAAATAGATTTCCGTAAACATGTACATTGACTGAGAGACATAGAGCTTTCCCCAAACTTTTAACTTGACATACATACAGATATCTACCAACATTTAAATTGACAGGCAGATAACAAACAGAGTTCTCCAAAATTCTGACAGACAAACAAAATTTACAAAACATTTAAATTAACAGACTTATAGCCTAAAATATTTATATTGACCGATAGAAAACATTCCACAAACATTTAAAGGGATACTAAAAGTGCCAGGAATGCAAAGCTCCCCCCACAGATGTGAATAAAGAGTTAAAAACCCTATTTTTTAAAACTTACTTTACCCCAGCGCTGATGTCCCTCGGCGCTAGGTCACGGCTCCAGATTTCCAAAATACAGATTTTCAAAACATTTCTGTTGACAGACATATGTGCAGATTTCCCAAAACATTTACATTAACATACAGACAGATTGACAAGCAGAGTTGCCCAAATATTTAAACTGAGAAACAAAATTCACAAAACATTTAAATTGACAGATACATCGATTTCGCTAAACATTTACATTGATAGACATACATAAATATTTTCCAGACATTTAAAATGAAGGCAGGCAGATTCAAACATTTAAACTGAGAGAGAGAGAGATCATATTAAACATGGATCTATAGAGATTGCTGGAGTACTATTTGGAATTCAATAAATACTATACTTGCAAAACTTCATATGATGTTCATCTCCATTGTAGAAATGCCAACTGTTTGATCAAGGGTGTCCAAGTATTTGTGCATTATATTGTAAACTTGTTGAACAGGGTCCTCATCAACCTACCGTACCTGTTA